ACTGCAAGCTCCAGCAGCAGTGGCAGCAGCAGCAGCAGCAGCAGCGGTGGCACCCGCATGAGCGGCCCCAAGTGGGCAGCGCATTCCATCAGCAGCCGGCCCAGCATATGCTCATGGAGGTGAAGTCACCGGGGCTCGCTTTCCCACTGGCCCGCTCATCTCCCTAGAAGCCAGGGATAAGCTGGGAATCCCAATGCCTGATAGCCAGCCCAGTCCTCCCACCACCCACCCTGGCTCCCCCGTTCACCATGGCCGATCCATCAGATCCTGCAGGCCAGGGGGAGGGACCAAGAGGTCAGCTGTTCTGCCTGCTTGCCAGTCCCAAGTCCTGCCCTACTCTGCCACACCCACTTGCTTCCCAGTTCACCTGCAGGTGGGGGTAGGGAGGTGAGGAGGTGGGGGAGGGGAGGGACCGAGATGTGATCAATGCACCTCATGGCAAGTGGTTGAGTGGTTGTTCCGGTCATTATGCTTATGGTCCCTGGCCTTTTATTATACAGGATTACTTTAATTGTAGACTTTCATTTGTAGACCAAATAATAATAATAAAATAATTAATTTAAAAAAAGAAATTAAAAACCAGACATGAACATACAGAGCTAACTTTTATAAACATTTTAATATATTTTTCTATTTTTCTATGATAAATTTAAAAATTAGCATGGCTCAATAGTTTTTTTCTATCACTCCCTACTCCCCACCTCTCCCTGATGGTAGATATAATCATACATCATTATTTTTTACTTAAAATTATATCATTATTATTCCCTTAAATCATTTAACATTCAATCATTATTCTTATGGTTATCATATGGATTTACCATAATTTTTATGTTTATTATTTTTATTTTTTAATTATCAAATACATACATAGACATAATAACCATTTAAAAACTTATAGATATGTAATAAAGGAAGTCTATAATTTTTTTCTTCTCTATCACTCCTATGCTGTGTGAGATAATCATTATTAATTTAGTGTACATCTTTTCATACTTATCTAATCCTATATAATAAAGAGGTAATATGCAAATTGACCATCACTCCAAAACACAAGATGGCTGCCCCCATGTGGACACAAGATGGCCACCACAAGATGGCCAGCAGGGGAGGGCAGTTGGGAGGGACCCAGGCCTGCAGGGGAGGGAAGTTGGGGACAACCAGGCCTGCATTGGAGGGTAGTTAGGGGGGACCAGGCCAGCAGGGGAGGGCAGTTAGGGGCAATCAGGCCTGCAGGGAAGGAGTTAGGTGTTAATCAGGCCAGCAGGGGAGCAGTTAGGGGGTGATCAGGCTGGCAGGCAGGCGAGGAGTTGGGAGCCAGCAGTCCTGGATTGTGAGAGGGATGTCCGACTGCCTGTTTAGGCTGGATCCCACCGAGGAGTCCCAGATTGGAGAGGGTGCAGGCTGGGCTGAGGGACATCCCCCCCCCCATGCACGAATTTCATGCACTGGGCCTCTACTGCTCATATAAACATCTATACACATCTGACTTTTAAATTTTTATTTACAAAAAATTATACATATTACTCTGTAACTTGCTTTTATAAAACTTAATTAATCATAACTCTACAGGTGAAGAATATAAATTCTTACTATAACTCTTTATATCAGGGTTCAATCAGAGAAGCATAACCAATAGGAGATTATTAAGATATTTTTATAAGGAATTACCTTATGTGATTGTGAATCCTGGCTGAGCAACTCCAAAATTGTAGGGCAGGCTGTCAGGAATGACAGATCATGGGCAGGCTTGAACTAATAGACATAGGCCAAAGCTCTCATCTATAGACAGGAATTTCATTAGAAGGATTGAACTCTAAGTACATGAACTAAAGTTGTGAGGCAGAATTTCTTGTCTCTCAGAGGGGGGAGACCTCAGCACTGCTTTTTTTTTTAAGTGGTAATAATAACTACCATGAACTCTATGTTCTTAAAAATTTTTAAGTGCATGATATAGTAACATAAGCTCCACAACCAGTGTTGTATAGCAAATCTCTGAAACTTATTCATATCTTATATAAAGGGAACTTTATACATATTCAACATCAACTCCTCATTTCCCCTATAGCCAGCCTCTTGGAATCACCATTTTATTCTGTGCATTTATAAGTTTGACCTCATATTTAATTTGTATACCTAATATGAAAAATCATGCCATATTAGTCCTTCTATGACTGCCATATTTCACTTACCATAATATCCTACAGATTTATCTATATTGTCACATATGGCAGAATTTTCTTCCTTTTTAGAGCTGAGTAGTATTATACTGTATGTATATACCATGTTTCTTAATCCATTTATCTATTAATGGATGTTTAGTTTGTTTCTATATCTTGGCTATTGGGAATAGTGCTGCAATCAACATGAGAGTACAGGTATCTCTTCAAGATCCTGATTGTAGTTATTTTGTATATATATCTAGAAGTGGGGTTGCTAATCATATGATAGTTCTATTTTTAATTTTATGAAGAACCTCCTTACTGTTCTCCATAGTGGCTGAAGCGTTTTAATTCTGAACAGTGTACTATGGTTCCAATATCTCCACATCCTTGCCAATACTTATCTTTTGTTTCTTTGATAATAGCTATCCAAACAGTAGTGAGGTGATTTCTTATGGTTTAGACTTGAATTTCCTAAAGATTAGAAATGTTGAGAATCTTTTCATATACTTTTTGGCCATTTGTATGTCTTCTTTGAAGACATGTCTATATAAGTCCTATGCCCATTTTTAAAATCTAGTTATTTGTGGGATTTTTTGTTTTTGTTTTTGCAATTGAGTATTCCACATAGAAGTGCCTTATATGTGGAAATTAACCCATTATCGGGTATATAGTTTGCAAATATATTTTCTTCCATTCCATAGATTGCCTATTCATTCTGTTGTTTCTTTGTTATGCAGAAGTATTTTAGTTTGATGTAGTCCTACTTTTCTGCTTTGCTTTGTAGCCCATGTTTTTGGTGTAATTTTCAAGAAATCATGGCCAAGACCAATGCCAAGCTTTTTCCCTGTTTTCTTCTAGGACTTTTCAAGTTTTAGGTTATACATTTAAGTCTTTAGTCCACTTTGAATTGATTTTCATGTATGGTGGAAGGTCGGAGATCAGTTTCATTCTTTTGCATGTGGATATCCATCGAGTTTTTTGAGCACCATTTTTTGAGGAAAGGATCCTTTCCCCATTTTGTATTGTTGGCAACTTTGTCAAAGATATATTGACTATATATATTTGAGTTTATTTCTGGACTATCTATCCTATCCTATTTGTTTACATGTCTGTCTGTAATTGCAGTAGCTTTGAATATATTTTGAACTAAGAAGTATGATGCCTCCAGATTTGTTCTTCTCTGTCAGTTTTGTTTTAGATATTATGGGTCTTTTGTGGTTCCCTATGTGGTCTTTCTATTTCGATAAAAAAGCCATTGGAGTTTTGATAGGATCACATTGAATTACTAAATTGCTTTGGATAGAGAAAAATAATCAGTCTTGCATGATATAAAATTCTCAACAAACTAAGTGTAGAATACATGGCCTTTATTACCTCAACATAATAAAGGCCATGTATGAAAGGCCCATAGCTAACATTGTACTCAAAGGGGGGAAACTGAAAGCCTTTTCTCTAAGATTAGGAACAAGACAAAGATGCCCACTTTTACCACTTCTATTCAGCATAATAGTGGAAGTTTTATCAAGAGCAATTAGGCATGAAAACAAAAGGCATCCAAATCAGAAAAGAAGTAAAATTATTTCTGTCTGCATATGATGCAATTTTCCATATAGAAAATCCTAAAAACTCCACAAAAAGCTCTTACAACTAATAAATGAAGTTATTAAATGTGTAGGATACAAAATCAACATACAAAATTCAGTTGTGTTTATATACACTAATAACAAACTATCTGAAAATAAAATTAGTAAACAATATACTTACAATCACATAAAAATGAATGTAAGAGTTAGGAATAAACTTAACCAAGGAGGTGAAAGATTTCTCCACTTAAAACTACAAAATATTGCTGAAAGAAATTAAAGACAAAAATAAATAGAAAGACCTTTCTGTGTTCACATATTGGAAGACTTCATATTGTTAAAATGTCTGTTCTTCTCAAAGCTATCTATAGATTCAATGTGAACCTATTAAAATGCCAATGACTTTTTAAAATTTTTCAATTACAGTTTAAGTTCAATATTATTTTATATTAGAGGCCTGGTGCATGGATTCGTGCACCGGTGGGGTCCCTCGGCCTGGCCTGCAGGAATCAGTGGACCTTTGTGCTGCTGCAGCCCAGCCTTACCCACCAACTCATTGGGCTCCAGCCTGTAGATCCAGCACAACAGGAAGAAGTGCACAAAGCGGCAGGTGGCCTGGGAGGAGCCCCAGCACTGCCCTGCTCCCGCTCATCCCGGCCCGCTGCGCCTGCCACCACTGCTGCTCAGTAGGCTCACTACCACTCCTCTGTGGTCTTTTGCGCGCCTGTCCTAGGTATTATGGGTATTATGCTCGTCATGGCAGGTGTATAGCACAGTGGTTAGACATTTATATAACTTACAAAGTGCCCCAATATTTCAAGTACCCATATGGGACTGTACATAGTTATTGCAGTATTATTGACTATATTCCCTATGTTGTACTTTACAACCCCATGACTATTTTGTGACTACCAATTTGTACTTTTTAATTCCTTCAGCTTTTCACCCAGCCCTTCCCATCAGGCAACCATCAAAATGTTCCCTTTACTTATGAATCTATTTCTGTTCTGCGTGTTCGGTTTTTTGTTGGTGGTGGCTATTTTATTTGTTTGTGTATTTTGCTCTTTATATTTCACATATATGTGCAATCATATGGTAATTGTCTTTCTCTGTCTGACTTAGCATAACATCCTCTAGATCCATTAATATTTTTTTGTAGAAATAGAAAAAACTCCTAAAATTCATGTAGAAACCAAAAAGACCCGTAATAGCTAAGAGGGAACAGAGCTGAAGGCATCACACTTCCTGATTCAAAATATATGCCAAAGCTACAGTAATCAAAATAGTATGGTACTGCCCTGGCTGGTGTGGCTCAGTTGTTTGGGTATCATCCTATGCAACAAAAGATTGATTCCCCATCAGGGCACATGCAGGGGTTATAGGCTCATCCCCTGTGGGGAGGGCAGAAGGTGCAGGATGGAGATGATTGATGTTCTGCTCTCACATCCTTGTTCCTCTTTCTCCCTTTCTCTTCCTCTCCCTCTAAAAATCAATAAAAATATTTTTTAAAGAACAGTATGGTACTACCATAAAGACAGACATATAAACCAAGGAACTAGGATAGAAATCCCAGAAATAAATGTACACATATAAGTCAACATATCTTCAACAAATGTGCCAAGACTACAAAGTTAGGAAAGGATGGTTTCTTTAAAAGTGGTACTGGAAAAACTTGATATAAACATGCAAAAAAGTGAAATCAGACTCGTATGGTGATACCTTGTTGACTTTTGAGGCCCTGGTCGGGGAGCTCAGTTGGTCAAAGTGTTGTCTCAATATGCCAGGGTTGCTGGTTCGATCCCCAGTCAAGGCACATATAAGAATCAACCAATGAATGCATAAATAAGTGGAACAAGAAATCAGTGTTTCTCTTTCTGTATCTGTCTTTCTTCCTCTCTCTCAAATCAATAAGTAAAATTTTAAAATAAAGACTTTTTATATGTCTTGCCAAAATTACTCTTCCAGGAACATACTAATTTTTACATTTAAGAAAGGTCAATGTTTCTTTAACAAAATAATGTGTTTTCTTTTTCTAGGCTTTGAAATTTCTGAAAATCAGAAGAGGCAGGCTGCAATGACTGTGAGAAAAGTCTCTAAACAAAAAGGTAAAGCTGCATTTTACCAACACTCCTCCTACTCCACCCTATCCCACCCCCACCCCACCATTCACTCTCTTTGTGAGAATGGAAAGCCATAGGCTATGTGTTTTCATATTCCTAAGCTTTTTTCCATGTAGAAGTTCACTTGGGGGGAGGGTGTAAAGTTTCTGGATTCCTATGTGTCCCTGAACATAGAAAATGTTCTTAAAGGTTTAAGTCTAAGGAATGAATAGTATAAGGTACTTATGTCCAGAGATAGCTCATCAAGTACAGGAAAAAAAATAGAGCCCCTTTTTATGTTTATTTTTACTTAAATAAACAAGAGAGAACGAGAAAGTAAACTTTACTAACAATTTAGAGATGGATGGGCAATAGAAAATGTGTAGGATTTATTTATAAGTGTAAGGGATATGTGCAGAATTTCCTTTCATTGTTTTGGAGATATTTGGTAAATCAAGAATCCCAAATCAGAATGAAGAACTTCAAACTGTATCTAGAAGATTCAGATATTCATTGTCTCTTTGTCTGAACTATAAAGTATTTACAAAAGAAAAATACATTGAAAATAAATGTGAATATGAAATGAAGCCCTATTTTCTCATTTTTATGAACTAGACAAAATTAAAATGCTTAGTTAAACAAAGGAAAGGAACTACCCTCTGTTTATTTGAGAGCCTATTCAATCGCAGTCATTTTACATAATTTCTTTCATTTCAACTTTATGGCATCCCTACAAGGTAGGCATTGTTAGCCCTGTTTGGTAGATGAGGAAACTGAGGGTCTTCTGGGTTAAATGACTCTGAACATAAGTCAGCTTGACTATAAGTCCCCTTCTCTCTCTTCTCCACCTAAGGGTCTGATGATTTTCCATTTTGAGGAAGAACAGCTGACTTTTTTTTGTCTCACCTCAATTACCAACAAATGTTTCTGTTTCTGATAACCACTGTTATTGTCCCCAGGGGTGGGCAATCTTAGACCTCAGTTTCCCCAGGTCACTCCTTCTGCTTTCTCAGTGGACTATTGCTCAGAATGAGTCACCATAGAAAATGATCAGATTCAAGTTGCCTAAAATTCCAGCAGTCACATAAAGCACCCCTAATTACTCCTAATGACACTGTTTTTCATTGAGTAAGCTGAGTACCTGTGTATATCTGATTTCCAATTAAGCAGTGTACCTAGTTGGAGCCCCTCTATCTAGACCTGACAGTCCCTTTAACTGCTTATTGCTTTTTGCCCTTGGGAGACCTTCTTTCCCTCATCATGCAAATGTGATTCTCTTTAGATAAAGAATTAAAGGCAACCACTCCTAACCTCTTGGGAATGAAAAGTGAGGTATAATATTAGAAAGCAATCTGGAGTTACTGTAAGTAAAGATATGATCTGTATGAATAGGAGAATCCTGTGAGGGAATATGTCCCTTCTTTAGATGGAGATATGAGCAGAAAAGAGCTCTAGGCAGGTGGAGAGTCCTCAGGCTACAAAGGGGCTACTGTCCTAGTAGCCTGCATCTGTCTCCTGTAGGCTCTTAGTTCCTGAGCTTCTCTCACTCTGATTTCCTTCATTGTCCTCACCATACTGACATTTGTCATGGGATGGTACCCCATTACCTTAGCCCAGGTTCCCTGAAGCTTATCTGAGACTGGCTGGTTTTGTGACTGATAATCCTTAAAGCTTAAGAAAATCCTCAAATCAAGCAACCAGAAAACAGTCCTGCTCAGTCATACCAAGCTTTTGTGTTAGTTTTCTTACCCACCTGTCTAGTCTCAACCTATACCCCTCAGGTCCTCTCTTGTGTCCCAATATCTAAACACTGGTTCACCTGAACAGCTTTTACCTGTAATAGCAATCTTAAAGACTTCAAAGAAACATATCTAGTTTCAAATGTCCCAGAATTCCTACAAATCACTTCTCTTATTTCTACTTCTAGTCTTCAAGACTTCTAGTCCAGGGCTGTGGTGACTCATATATTTTGTGACTCAAAGGTACTATACATGTGGAAGTAGTTGTCAAACTTAGTAATATTAGTTACATAATATACATGTGAAGAGCAAGGGAGTCCTTATAGATACCAATGAAATCTAGCTTCCTTACCATTCCAATGAACCCTTCCTAAAAGTGATGTGAAAGAATTGTTGTTAAGATTTCTCTAATGTAATGTAATTGGATAGGTAGTTTCCCTTTGCAACCCCATCTGTAATGCCATGGGACTTTATCAACTCAGTCAACTGTTCTGGAGGACAGCCTAGCTCTAAGGAAAGCCTTTTCATTTTACATTTGTCTTTCATACTGGCCTGCTTTTAGCTTCTTAAGAGTTGTATGCTACTTCCTGATCCATCAGACTATTTCAGTCTATCATTATAGAACTCCCCAGGGCCCTGAGGATAGCCCTGATCTTCAGAGGTTTGGGGACCAGTTGAGAATCAAGTGAGTACACTATAATAACTAAAATAATCTTTAAAAGTAAGAAAAAAGTAAGAAAAAGTAAGTAATCAGTCTCTCCTGATTTCAACACTAATTTATATATCTATAGTAACCAGAACAGTGTAGTGTTGGCATAGGGTTAGAGATATTAGCTCAGTTGAACATAATAGAGAACACAGAAATAAACCTACACAAATTTACATCACTGAATGTTGACAGAAGTGCTAAAGCAATTCACTGGAGGAAGGATAGCCTTTTCAATAAATGGTGCTGAAACAATTGAAATTCCATAGGGCAAAAATTAAAAGAAGAGCTTCAAACTAAACTTGCACCCTATAAAAATTAACTCAAAATTGATAATGCACTTAAATTTAAAACTACAAAGTTTTAGGATTGATAGGAGAAAATCTTCTCTGCGTATCTAGGGCTATACAGAGAAGTTCTTAGACTTGACACCAAAATCTTGAATTACAAACTAAAAAATTGATAAAATACACTCATCAAAATAGAAAAATTTTCTCTGTGAGAGACCATGTGAAAAGGATGAAAAAACAAGTTACAGGCTAGGAAAAAATATCTGCAAACTACATATCTGATGAAACACTAGTATCTAGAGTATATAAAGAACTCTCAAAACTCAACATTAAAAAACTACCTATTGCAATTAGAAAATAGGCAATATATAAACATATTTCACTAAAGAGGATATATGGATACCATTTAAAAATTAAACAATGTTCAATATCATTAACTATTGGATAAATGTGAATTAAAACCATAATGAGATATTACTACATATCTATTAGAAATGCAGAAATAAAAAATAGTAACACCATCAAATGCTGGCAAAGATGCAGAAAAATTGAGCCATTTATACCTTGCTGGTGAGAATATATAATGGTACAGCCACTCTGGAAAATAGTTTGGCACTTTAAGACATGAAACATTCAATTACCATATGAGCCAGCAATTACACACTTGAGCATTTATTCCAGAGAATTCAAGACTTATTTCCACATAAATCAAATGTTCATAGAAGCTTTGTTCATAATAGCCCAAGCTGGAAACAATTCAGATGTCCTTCATTGGGCAAAAATTAAGCAAGCTGGAGAAACTAATATGGTGGCATAGGTAAATACCGGGAAATTGCTGCCTCCCACAACAACTTCAAAATACAATGAAAAGACAAAACGGACATCACCCAGAACTACAGGAAGGCTTGCTGAGTGGAAATTCTACAACTAGAAGGAAAGAAAAGCACACTGAGAGCCAGAGGAGCTGCGGAAGTAAAGTGCAGAGATACGGAGGTTCGTGCGGGGAAAGGGGCTGGCACCTGAGGATGCAGCTATCTTTTTGAATCGGGAAGGAGTCACAAGCTCCCAACTGCTCTGAACTCTGGTACCGGGAAGTCTCTGGGGACCCAGGACTCATACGGGGAGAAACTAGACTGTCTGGCAGCAGGCAGAACTCTGAACTTGAGGGCGGCTTTCCCTCAGAGGTGCTTGCAACAATTATCAGGACACTGAGATGCACGGCCCCTTAGGGCAGGGCTGAGAATCCGCCATAGCTGCTTGCTCTGCCCTTTGATTCCTTGAGACCCCGCCCCACCCAGGCTGCGGCAGAGGCTTTTGCATATGAATGCCCCGGCCCTTTGCAACCTGAAAATTACCTAAAAAACTGCAGCTGGACTAGACAGACCCAGAACTTCCAAGAGAAGACCCAAGGCCCCACAGCAGCTTGCGTTGCTTCACAGCTGGGCCTCATCAGGGCACCTCCAAACTCAAAAAAAAAGAAAGGGAATCTGCAGTTCTCTTCGTAGCTACTGCCAGGTAACCTCAGGCTGAGGCTAAATTAGCACCTCCTTAGATCCAAGAGCCAGTGTACCCAGTTGTCAGAGGGGACCATCCAAATTACAACTCCTCAGATCCATAAGGGACACACTCAGGGTGCAGACTCAGTGAGCACCAAAGCCCCACTGAAGCAAGTCTTGCCCCAGAAGGGTGTCTTCAGCACAGAAGTTCCCCCACTGCAGACACATTTGATTCTCACTGCCAATTGGCCTGGAGGTCAATTCCTCCCAGTGATACCTAGAACAATCAAGGCTTAACTACAACAAGACTGTGCACAAAGACCATAAGGGGGTGCACCAAGAGTGTCCTCCTCAGGTAATTGGGGAGGCTGAACCACTGGGCCCTAGAGGACACTTAGCACAGAAAACCACTTTATCCACACAGGGAA